ACACACACACACACACACACACACACACACACACACACACACACACATCTCCTCCTGTCCAGGGCCAAGACTGAGACAGTTGTTCAATTCTCCTCACAGCGTCTTTAGAAGCTTCCCCTGGTTACTAAGTTTATGTGGTGGGTACATTATTCTGCCCTGGTACAATGAAGCATCACTGTGATCAAAATGAGCCATTATTTCTGCAAGGTAAATTCATGTGAAGCCAGGATCTAAACTAGAGGACAGAAGTTTGAAGTTTTACACATGCCTTGGAGGGCCTTGATTCTATTTTGCAACAGACAGAGAACAGCTTTACTCGCATTTAAATGTGTGCATGGATTTTTCAGTGTGCAAATGAAACTTCACTAAAATAAATACAAGAAGTGTCTGGACTGGATTGAGAACTGGAAAAAGCAGTGCCCTCCCCCTCCCCATTTTGTTTTAAGAGGGTTTGGCAAGTAGTGGTATTTTGTTGGAAAAGGCATTGAGAGGCTTCAGGCCTCTCGGTTGCTTTTAAGAGAAAGATTAAAGAAAAAGCTCTTGAGCCATCAGATTACATATCAAATAGCTAAAGATGGTCAAAAGTTTCCACCGTCCAGAGTCCCAGGAATGACCAGTGTGAAGAGATTACTAAAATGTTAGTCAACACTCCTAAGGCTCCCAGGTTTTGCCATTAAGAGTTCAAGGCTTCGCATTCCTTTTGTATAATGTGACTTTGTTTTCTCTCTCATGCTGAAATGTCAAGTGGCTTTTGCTCCCTTACTTACCTTGCAGGGCAGCTTCTACTAATAGGCTGTAGCAGTTCCTCTGTTTCCTATTAGGGGTTAGTCAATAAATGTACTTCACTAACTGCCCCCCAGCTCCTGTAAGCAGTTGAGTGTAGGAGTGAATGTTAATTTCTTTGAACTGTAGTCATCTGAAGACTCCGAAAAAGCTTAAATACTTGCATATGAAAAGAGCCTTCCCATGAGACAGTCTGTCACTTTTAGGGGGTTGGAATCTGACTTACAAGCTTTGTATTTTCAGAGAAGCACAGGAGTCTGAATGATTGGCTTCTGGGAGAGTTAGGCTTGTGCAACTTAATTGCTTCAAAGAACAGATTTCGATCCTGTTGGTCGTACGTATTTCCAACCTGAGGACAGAGGCAGGCCCTTCTTATTTTGTTAAATGTTTGTTAAAAACAACAAGTTGTGGAAATGGCAGTGGAAGCCACAATTTCTGCCCAAGGACTAACATATAGTTTTTCTTTTGTTTGTTGTTGAAGATTTGGATTTCTGAGTCAGCAGTAATACTATTTTAGTTGCGTTTAATTTAGTTTAGTAGAATAAATTTACTCATTCCAATTTTCTGTGAGCAGTAACATGATGATGTGCATATAAGATGCTAGCTTTACATAATTGAAAAAATATTGGCTGAAAGAGTTGTAATTGGATTGAGTTTTTTTTTTAAAAAAATAAATACTTAAAATTACAGAAGAAGAGAAATGCTTTGTGGTAATTTAGCCTTATTTGTGGAAACAGCATTTTTATTTTTGTTTCCTAATTTTATTTATATGTATTTTTTTAACTTTATCAGTGTAATGGCATATTTTATAACCTTATAAACCTGAACCCTTTAGGATGATTTACTATAAATGCTTATACTGCTTGTTGCTACTATCCCACACAAACTAAAACAGGCTAACTGTAATAGACAAAGCGACTCACATTCTCTTTTGTTTGGCTTATTTGATGTTAGCAGGCGTGTTTCATTGATTTTTCTCCTGTAACTCTTAATGGGTGCCATTTGTGGAGTAATGAAAATGCAATGATAATTGCCATCATGTAAACAAACAAACAAAAAAGGTATTCTACTTGAAAATTCCCTTTCAGAAAACTCAGGGTGTCCTAAGACCTGGGGTATTCGCCGGATTGCAGGGCTTCCTTCAGTCTCCTCCTGCTTCCAGGGAAGTGCCCTTTAAATGTGACAGGTTTAGCGAGACTTATTTATCAGGTATTTTTAGTGGTGATTACAGCTGCCAACCTGTAAGCATGCGTGCTTCTTACAGAAGGAGAAGGCATTTTCTTGCCACTGTGTATGGCCACCTTTCTCTCTTTGTGCCCTTTGCCCTGGTCCTGACTCCCATGCTATCTCTTGGTCGTTTTATACCATCATGTATTTAGGTATTTGGGCTGTCTTGTTTGGTAATCTTTCACCGTTAATAGCATTATGTTTATCTGCTATGTGCTTTTAAAATATTAAAGATTCTGATTTTGTGTATCATTGTATACGATATTCCATAGTTATTGTCTTGCTTATCATTTGCATGTTTTTATAGTGAGTTTATTTGGCTTTACTTTTGTTCTCATGTTTTTTGTTTTTTTTCCCCCCTTTTGATGGGATATAGCAGGTAAATAACTCTTTATTACTCTGGCTAGGGTGGCAGGACAAATGCTTTCTGAAAGAAGGAGGTATGCCAGTGCTGGAGTAAATTAATATTTTACTGCATTTGCATCATATTCGACTGTTCTGTGCACTTAGCAGAATGGGAGGAGACTGTAATTTGGACTCTATCAGGCCTTATCTGCCGGGCGATGTGTAAACAGGGCCCTGTGTACACATAAATCCATATACAAGCAAACCCAAGTCCCCGGTACTTGCAACTTCTGGGAAAGTGATTATTAAGTATTTTGAAGCTTCCTTTGAAATGTTACCAGATAAAAATCAAGACTTCCGTTGCCCTTAAAAATAAATGCTGTGTTAAGATGAAATAGAATTTTGTGAACTTCTGATGAACTCGGCCACTGTTTGTAACTCCACAGCATTCTTGGTGGAAATACAGTGTCTTATTTTCTTTTTGTAAGGACATTATAGTCCACTTAGCTTTTCCCTCTGCACACAGATTACACACAGGGAAACCAAAGACTGTTAAAAACTACTTCTTTTGCAGAGCAGACCCAGGCACGTAATAGATTCTTAAATAAATTAGTGGTGAATGGATTCGTTAGAAGGAAGAATACTTTGGCTACTATTCATTACTTTGCAAAGTGCTGGAAAGAAATAGAGTTATTTTCCTCTCCAGCTGGGTTGTGCTCTTAAAAATAGAGAGTGTGTATGGTTGAAAATAATTATGACTACTGAGATGAGTTGCCATGACCCAAGCATAATTGGCTTCCTTACCTGTTTACAGATTACTCACATTGGAGATCATATTCATAGTTCCAGAATAGTTTCTTTCTGACACCCAATATAATTCTGTGCCTTCTCCTTCCCACTGTTACCCGGCGTGAGCTTAGGAAACCCAAACTAAATTTAAAATCAGCCTAAACACATATGCAGCACGGCTCCAGTGATCTGACTGAAAACCAGTTCAGCATTCACTTAGTTGAGAGATTTTTTTTTTTTTAATTTTAAATCCTAACTGCATGGCTGATTCTTTTGGTGAAATCTAGTTAATTGGGTATTATTAGCACTTATGTAAATAACTTTAACTAATGGCTAAGGTTAAAAAAAAAAGTATGCTAGCAGATCAAGGTCTCTACTTCTGTTTCTGTACATACATCTTTAATTTCCAAAATTATCTCACAGGCGCCATGAGCCATAAAGATTCATTCATTTCTTCATTCATTTATCTATTCACACATTCATCATATGGTGGGTAACTTTGATTGACTATTGGGGCAAAATGAAAGTTAATACAGTGTCTGCTCAGTGATTAAATTATTTCGAATTTAGGAATGGGCATGTACCTCAGTTGGTAAGAGTGCTTTCCTACCATGCCCAAAGCTACAAGTGTGATGCCCCCACTTTGCATAAACTGGGCGTGGTGACACATGCTTGTATTCCCAGCACTTGGGAGTTGGAGGCAGGAAGATCTGAAGTTCAAAGTCATCCTCAGCTACATAGCAAATTTGAGATCAGCCTGGGCTACATGAGCCCTTTTCTCAAAATGCAATCTGTTTTCTTCCTGTATTTGATTTTTCCACTCACCTTTGGACTAGTATGTTAATAACTATGTCTACCATGATTTTCTTTCCAGTTGCATGTAGATAGATAATATATTCTAGATTAAAATTAGGCTTTTGGCCCAATTGCTATTGAGTCCATGCCTATTTCTACCTGATGCTATTTCTGATAACTGGCTTGTGTTTACTTATTGGATGCTTGGGTAAAATGACGCTGGCCATCTCAAACATGGAGACCAATGTTTTCATTTGACTGAAGGGATGGCCTAGATTTCATTTGTTGGCTCCCCTGAGCTCTGTGGAATAAAACCAGACTTGTCCTGAGCTGATTGCTATCTGCGTAACTCTTCTATAACAAAATCCAAAATTTGATGTTCTTAAGACTTGTATTCCAGTGCCTGCGTCTTAAGGTAGACCTCTTTTTAAAGCAGCTTATTCTTCTTTTTTGTCTCTCTGTTTTGTTTGGGTCTTTCGTCTTGGATTTCTTCTGCACTTCCTGGACCACTATAGAAGCAGCCTACATCCTGCAACAAGTCACCAGGGCAGTCCCTCCAAGCTGCAGATCTGTCTGTCATCTGTGTCTAACCGCCTCTTCGTCCATCCCCTCTGCAGGGAAGAGCATCACGTTCAGGTGAGAGTTTTACGATGGCTTCCGTTTTCCATCTGAGGGTAAAATCTGACTTGGAATGGTTGCTCACTAGCCTTGTGCTCTGTTAACTGTGAAATACAATTTTTTTCACAACTACAGCGTATGGGAAATGGCCTAGGTGTGTCCATGTGCATGTCCGTATGTGTGTGTTTTAGACTTGAATGCCAGCATCTATGGTTGTGGTCTATGTGGTTCATGAAGAAATCTGCATTAAATTTGTGATGATCTATGGTTGCTGCCTGGGGCTTGTGCCTGATCATTTCACTTGTCACTTTTCCTTAATTCAGTTGAGAACACGAAGCTGCCAGCTCCCCGGAGTCTCTGTTCTTACAGCTTAGGCTCCTACTGTAGTATGATACATTTACAGAGAAACAGGGAACTGTTTGTTGGGTCAGTGGCAACCAGGAGTTGTTAAATCTTGAGTTTCTTTGTGTCTGTTTGAATTTTACAACTTCCTGATTTCCTCACATACAGTAAATTTTTCTGGCTGAGAGAATCGTGAAATAGTGTCTAAGCAGGGACTGTTGACTCAGAGTTCTCTGTTGAAGAGCAGACCGGAGGCCACTGCCCTTCTGTGAAATCTGGAGAAAATGGAATTCAGCTAGAATGTGAGGCTGGAAGGGCTTGGGGACACTGGTGTACCCAACCAGGGAGGGTTGTGAAATAGAAAATAGAGGGTGGATTTCCAGCTGCCTTTCGAGTAGCTCTGCTTGAAGCGATGAAGCCAGGCAACACGAGAAGTTCCAAAGGCTGGCTGGGCAACAGATTCTAAGGACTTTCAAACAGAATTTGGGGCTCCACCCTAGACCTCCTGAATCAGAATGTTCCCCGCTGGTCTCCTGGAATGAATGAAGGACATGTTTCTGGAACTTTCCTTTCTTGGTAAAAAGCAGAAGGCATTCTTACTAAACCACATACCCCAAATCGAGGCCTTCAAAATTCACTCATGAAGAGGTAGATCCCGGCATTACCAAAAGTGTTCATTTAAAAAAATGACCCAGTGGTGAGGGGCATGATGGTTCACATCTGCAATCACAGCCCTTGCTAGGGTGAGCTGAGGAAGGGTTGCACAGTTTCCAATTGAGTTCTGGAATAGCCAGGGACACAGCCTAAGACCCTGTCTCGAAAAGCAAAACAAGATGAAACTCCCAAGCAAACTCACCAGATTTCTGTGTTTACATCTCAGAAACCAGTTTCTTTTAAGCCAAGCACAAACACCATGGCCGCTGACACTAGCTAGAATGTCCGGATTTCAAATCTGAAGATGCTACTCCAATCATGCACATTCTGTTTGAATCCTGTTTGTGCCTCAGTTTCCTCATAGATGATGGAAACAACAGAGTGCTACTGTGAAGACGGAATAAAAATGTATGTGTGTGGCTTGAATGTGCCGGCATATGGCTTTTGGCCTGCTCACATAAGCTATCACTGTTAGCACACAGCTTATCTCTAGACAGGGTGATTGTAATGGTCTTGTTTTTTTTTTTTCCATGGCTGCTCCTGGACCATACATGACTAGGAACAAGTAAATATACCTAGACCTTGGTCTTTGGACCAACCCTGTAGGCCATTGTGGCTCTACAAAGCCCATAAGTTCTCTATTTCTTTTTCTGAATTTTAAATCCTGAAGTTATGTTAAGTCTTCCTGTGATAGAATACATATTTTTTTTGCAATGCAGCAAGATAAACTGATGGATAGCATGCCTAAATAGAGTCATTTGCATAAAAATTAAAAAAAAAAAGGCCTGATTAAGAGTTATGTTTAAGCCTTAGAAAGAGTAGCTAGAAGTATGGGACTGTAGCTCAATGGAAGAGCATTTGCCTAGCATGTGTGAAGCCCTGGGTTCAATTCCCAAAACAGAAAGAAAGGAAAGGATCTAAGAGACCTTTGTGGGGAAAAGCAGCAGATGGAGAGAGTCACCACACCACAGCATTGCTTTTGAATTTTGCATTATGCAAATAGGTTCTTTATATTTTATTCGCTGTGGATTTGAAAACACTGACTCCCTCTAAGTCAGTGTTTCTCAACCTGTGGGTTGCGACCCCCTTTAGGGGTCGAATGACCTTTTCCACAGGGGTCACCTAAGACCATCAGAAAACACAGATATTTACACTGTGATTCTCAACATAGCAACATTGCAGTTACGAAGTAGCAATGAAACAGTTTTATGGTTTGGGGTCACCACAGCATGAGGAACAGCCTTAAAGGGTCACAGCGTTAGGAAGGCTGAGAGGCGCTGCTGTAGAGAGGAGAATGCCCTCTAGTTGCTGCAAGGGGAAGCCTCCTCAGGTCTGCAGGTGTCTGCCAGTGGGCAGGCTGGGGTGTCTTCCTGTTGCTTTCCCTCTTGAGATGCAGGGGTTTCTAGCGTCGCAGACAATTCTAAGTGTCATCTGGACACTCACGGTCTCAGTGACAAAATAGTGCACTGTCACCTTGAACGTTAGGCCGTTGATATTTTCGGTGATTGCAAAGGAAAGAAACGTCAATGCATTATCTAAACATTTTGCATACATAATGGCCTCATTATGGTCCTCACAGCTGATGGCTCCATGCGGGCAGGGAGAGAGTGTCATGCTGTACTCTGGCATTTTCGAGTTACTCTGTTAAATGAAAGTCTGGGTTATTATTTCTGGCTCTTGTTGTTTTATAAATATGATACAGCTAAGCAAGTTATGACCTAACTTATTCACAGCTACTATCTATGTAAAGAAGTGATTCATTCATATATTCGTTGTGTATTTTTTTTAACTACTTCATGGTGCTGTGGACATGAAAGTGAGTAAGAGCTACCAGAGTATCCATTCTTCGTGACCAGGCAAGGGAAAGAAGGAATGCGCTGAAGTAGCTAACAAAGCTGAAAGGGTTGGGTTGTACTTACTGGGGGGTACATTCTGACCCGGAAGGAATTCAGATAGGTGGTGGGAGTTCAGGAAAGACTGTGAGGAGGAGGATCATGTGATTTGCTCTTTGAAGGCTGGATTGCACTTCTGTGGGAAGAGATGGAGAGAGGCAGAGCAAAGTCTTGCAAGTGGCCGGGACGACAAGCAAAGGCTTGCTTGTATGCCGTATGTAGGCTGGGCAGCTGTGGCTGAAGGAGGGGGGCTTGTGAGTTTCAGAAGTCAGGGAGACTGGTGGGGGTATGGGAAACACTGAGAAGTCAGTCCAGAGAGCAGTTTGGAAGCATCACTGACATAAATAAAAAAGGTTTTGGGACTTGGTCTTCCGGTCTTGGGCCTGGCGAAGGGGTGTTCACACAAAGGCCATGACTGAACCTAAGGATGCGGGAGCTGGTGTTGGATGCACAGGGGAGAAGGTGAGAGGCAGTGAGGGGGTGGGGGAGCGCTTGAATGGTGGTGTAGCACAGCCTTTGTTTGCCAGTTTCTCACAAGCAGGGGTGGCAGGAGGGACTGGCATGATACAGGAGTGAATAGTAGAGTGTGTGTGTGTGTGGGGGGGGGTTCTGTTAGAGCTTTAGGACCCCAGGAATCCTGTGTTCAACTCAATGCCATAAAATCTTGTTGCAACAGTTATTCCTTTATAAAATCGGAACCGGAGCTAATTTTAGCTAGCTCTAATATGCGTGTGTATGAAAAACGAATGCTGCTTTTGACACTCAGCCCATGCAGCGTCTCTTTTCACAAATGCTGCTTTTACTTTCCTCTGAGCAGTTTTTTTTTTTAAGACTTTCGATGGTGCCCTGTACCTATTAACAACAATTCCAGCATTTCTTTGATCTTTCCTACCGTTGATTGATTCTTCTCATGTTGCAGGCGTGAATCTCATTGTGTCATCCACTTAACAACTTAGCCATTGTTCATTTGTGGCAATTCAGTTACTGTACTTACGATAAACCATATTAGTGAGGGTGCGCTTCATAACGTTTGAGGATTTTCCAGAGCTTTTCTGTAGGGTCTTTTAAATGCGAGGAAAAAAATATGTATAAAGAGATAGACAGACATGAATTTATGTATGAAAATCCTAAGATTGCCAGATACAGTAACAAATTAGCTTCCCAATTAATACCCTGTAGAAAATGATAAAGAAATCTAGAACTGAGCTGAACATTGTGCATTCCTGTAGTCCTAGCACTTAGGAGCCGGAAGCAGGCAGATCAGGAGTTCAAGGCCAGCCTCAGCTACACAGCCTCAAACTACACAGTAAGTTTGAGCAAGCTTGGGCTACTTAAGATTCTATTGAAAATACAGAGATATCATTGTTAATCTGTGGTTCTGGGGAAAAGTTAGCTTAAGAGTCCATGGAACTCAGTGCAGGGGACAGGTGGAAGTTATCTTTGTGTGGATGAGCAGTCTGTTTACATGAAATTGGGTGGAAGCCTGAGGATTGTTTAATGCTTTTATTTGGTTTTGCTTTTGTTTGAGTTGTTTACACGCACTGTTGGTATTGCCCTCCAGTGGCTAGGAACGAACACGTTAAATACAAAAATAACAGTGTGAAAATCAAGAAGTTCCGTGTGCGTTTCTGGGTGTATTCAGGTGCACAAGTATGTAGCTCTCAGCCCTGGATGTCCTTCCTCGGGTGCCGTCCATGTTGTTCATGGAGACAGGGCCTCTCTCTCTCTCGTCAGTGAGGCTAGCCGGTCAGCAAGCCCCAGGAATCCTTCTGTTGCGCCTCCCAGTGTTGGGATTGCAAGAGTGTGCCACCACACCTGGCTTTTTCACGCAGGGTTCCAGGGACTCAAGCTGAGGTCTTCACACTTGCAGCTGAGTGCTTTACTAATGAAACTGTCCCCTCAGCCTGCCTGGAAGCTTTTAATGAGCATCCAGAATGCAAGATGAGACCTTAACAGGAAAACAGTGATAGGTAGTTTAGTGTCGCTGTTTTTTTTGAACATGAAGCCATTCAGTCTCTATTGCACTCTTACCTGCCAGACACCCTTGTTCTAACTGTGCTGCGGGTATAGAAACTTGTGGCACGACAGAGGGTAAGTGACTTGCCCGCTTTTGCCAGGAGTTAAGTGATC